GCCCTGACTGGGAATCGAACCAGGACCTACCTCCTAGTTCATAGGTCAACACTCAACCACTGAGCCATGCCGGCTGGGCTGCCTTATTATATTTTGTTTGCTGGCTCTCCCTGCTCCAGCCTCAAATGGGGCCATGAGTCTCAGCAGTTGGCATAGTCCTTGGAATGGCTATTAGGTGTCATGACACCTAGCAACTATAACCATTCAAGGCAGCCTTTATTAGCTGTACTAGTATTATTATTAAAATTTTATTCTTGCCTCGGCCCTTCGCCTATATGGCTCAGTTGGTTGGCCACATGCACCAAAAGGTTGCTGGTTTGATTCCCAGCCAGGGCACATATCCAGGTTGCAGGCTCAGTCCCCGATGGGGGCATGCAGGAGGCAGCCCATTAACGTTACACTCTCAAAACAATGTTTCTATATCTATCTATCTATCTATCTATCTATCTATCTATCATCATCATCATCTATCTATCTGTCTCTCTCCCTTCCTTCCTCTTCCCTCCCTCCCTCCCTCCATCTCTTTCTCTGTCTCTCCCCCCTCTCCCTTCCTCTCTCTAAAAATCAATAAATATATTTAAAACAACACCATTCTACCCCTCTCCTCCTATTTGGGGGAAGTCTGGACCTATGGAGGATTGAGGGAAACCTCTTTATGAGGCTTGAGTTCAGAAAGCAAACAGCTTTTCTGGTTTCATAATCTCCAAAAAGTTACTAATAATCCCCTCCTCTCCGCAAGTGAAATTTAAGTTCTAGATAGTGATGTCTCATTGGATATTTTTTTCAATTGGCAACACTATTCCAAACCTCTTAGCCTTGACAGTTCTGAGCTCTGTGAGTTCTGTCTTCAGGAGAGTTCCCCCTCCTGAGTTCTGCTTCTCTCACAAGGCAGTGATACAGTTGCTTAGTAGCAACTGAAGAAAGAAGACTAAATGCAGAAGAAATCTCGTGGACTGGGAGCCAAAATCTTCTCTACTCTTGAAACATTTTTTGTTATAGCAGAACCTGTTCATTCATGGTGGATGTTGAGAAGCTTCTGAAGCCCTTTCTATTGAGTCTACTGAAGAGTAATAACTAATTGAGTAGCTCTGGGGCCAGTATGTCTGTCTTATGTCACACAGAAAGATGACAGAGTAATGCTTTTAAATGGGGCTCTTAGGAATTGACTAGGAGGGAAGGAGCTTCTGTAGAGGTACTTGCAGGCAGCTGTGGAAATCCTTCCTTCCAAAGAGCTGTCTGCGGCTCTGGCAGAGAGCTATTTGTGTATAACAAGCCTTTTGAGTCTCACCTGCCCTTAGCAAAGAGAAATCACTTTATAAAACAGGATTATCAACAAGAGGAGGTAGTCTTGAAAATGAGTCCCTGAAATAATTAATAATGATCATGTCCATTCCAGTTGAACTGGGCACTCAATTTTGTAATGCCCAGGCTACTTTGCACTGATTCTTTACTAATGAATAGTGTATGACTTACTTATGCATTTCTTATACATATAAAACATTCTCTTGCTGGAAGGTTGATACAGTACTTTTTTTTTAACAATAGTAGTCTTAAGAGAATGCGGGCACTCTTGATTGATCAAAGGGGCTATACTTAAGTGATTTTTAAAATATATATAATATTATATGATTTATGATAAGTGTGTGTGTGTGTGTGTGTGTGTGTGTGTGTGTGTAGGTTCCAGAAAGCAGAATGTAATATAAGTAATGAAGTTAGCTCTAGCATCTGATCCTAGCCCATTTATTAGCTGTACTAGTATTATCTTTGAGAAGTTCATTTAGCCTCTTAGTCTATCTATTTCCTCTGTAAAATGAGGGAGTTTAAATAAATCTGTTTTCCAAACTCTGAAATTTATAACAGATTACTACAGATTATTTTGGGTGGCATGTGAGATAATTTCAGGCAGTTTCCTGATAAAGTACTAAAATAAACATTGAATCACAGTTGAGAAAGTTATCCCTTTCTCAGTCTTATTGATTATGTCAAAGACAAAGTCTCAATTTGGTATCAGGATATGTGTAATAGTTCTTTAATGCTGGATAATTGTTTGGGGTTGGGGACAGAGGTGGATGGGGAGAGGCACTGTATATCCTTCATTTCACACGAGTTTCCATATGTGGGAAGTAAATTCCATTCCATAGAAGGAAAAGTACAGAAGTGCTTGTCTGCTCTTTGTGACTGCCTCATTTCCCTTCCACTTGCAGTGGAAGTAACGTGCTATACAACTGGTGAGCTTGGGCAGAGGAGCCAAATGTGACTGGCTTCTCTCATGGCGTGACCCATTCTCAGAACACATATTCCCCCTCCTCCACTGTGAAGTAGGGCTTGGTTGACAAACTCTGCTTAGGACTTGGTAGGAACTATTAGGAAACCCATGAGACCATAAATAAAAAGAAAAGGAAAATAAAAAACCTACATTCTCTAACTCATCCTATTGGTAATCAGGTTGATACATTTTGATTGCCATTTTATTCCTCTCCTCGTGTCTCATTTAGGTTTAGACTTATAGGAGATGTAAGGAGAAAAGCAATTATTACCCCTTAAAACCTCACTAACAGTCCCTTTTTTAAAAATAGAAATCTGGCTTGAGCACAGTGCCCTTTAATAAGCAATAGTATATATTTATATATTTATATATATTTACATATATATAAAATTTAATAACATGGTTTTGTTTTCAATAAAGTTATATTTATAGTTACCATCTATAAAATAAACTCATTGAAGCTTTTAAAAAGTGAATTTTTAAAACATTAAGTAGTGCAGATGATACATGGATATGATAAAAACTATAAAGGTGGTACATAAATGACTAAAATTTAGGAAGTACTGAATAAGATTATCTCTAGGATCTATTCCCAGTTTAAATTGTTTTGGATGTGTATTTCAGTAGATAAAAAACGCTATGTGGTAAACTAAGTAAAAGAAGGGACATTCTAACAGAAAATGTACTATTATTTACTTTCATTTTGAAACATATCATTATTGAGGAAGCTGAACTTTGATACGATGCCAGTATTTGTATAAATAAATACCCTTTTCTCTTAATATTTTACTAAGCAGTGAATTGATATCTTTTTGATAGTATGATTTTTAGTGATGATGTTTGAAAGCATTCTAGTTCTGGGTGAGGTTTTTGAGCAGGAAATCACGGAGGCAAGAACGAGTCATCACTGTATGCTCTGCCTAGTACAGTGTTTGCCACACAGTAGTGTTCAACAAATATTTGAATGAATGAGTGAACAAAGAATCAACAAAAATTAACTGAATTCTCTGTCTTGAAGGTCTAGGCATAGTTTTCATTTCTTTCTGAAAGCTGGCAATAAGGCTATCTGTAAGGAAATGATGCCTGGGGCAGTCAGAGGGTAATACATTCATGGAAGTGCAATTTAACCTTACTGAGAAGAAAATCACAAAAGGAAGGTAGCCCAACTAATTTTGCTTTTGTTTATGGTCATATATGAGAGACTAGGGTCTTCCTTTTTTTTTTTTTAATAAAAAGAACTACCTTTCTCCCTTCCTCTTTTTTTCTGATTCATGTATTACTCTCTTATCTCCACATCAGGGAAAGCACCCCAATTTTCCTGGCCTTAGGGAGACTATTAGAGTTTAATTGAAAATGTGGCTCACTCTTTCCCCACACACTCTTAATTACAGTTTCCCATATAATAAAGTTGCCCAACTTTTTCTTAACTGGCACCCTAGGTGAACTGCCATACTGGTGGTAAATTTATTTATTGCCAATTTTTCTTGCAACAAATGTCATGTTTCAAGGGATTTGTTCTAAGAATCCTGAAATGAGTTTTACATATCAGAGAGAGAATATTAGCCAAACATTTTTAATTCTTAGTTATATCACTGACTTTCTAATAACTATACAGTTGGTTTGAGTGATTTCATTCCCAGATCATGTAATTTATTTTAAAACATTTTACATAATGCAGAAAAACAGAATTTTAGGACTGTATATTTATTCTGGTGAATACATGTTAAATGTATTCTAGGTTTAGTCTCTACAAGTACATTCTTTAATGGTTTAGTGATTAACTGTGATTCTAATTCATTATACATAATGACAACATCTTAACTTGAGTTATCTTATATGTTCAGGTTAATATTTTTTGTTAATGAAAATTTAATTCAGTACATTTTATATTTATGAAATCTCTCTGCCTGGGATCTTTGTGTCTTCTAGTTATTACTATGTGATCTTTAATATGTAAATTAAACTTTAGGAATGCTGGCTATCACATTTTGGTTCTTCTCATTGCATTATAATATTGATAGAACAGTAATATTAATGACATGTAGAAGTTGGATTTTGAAACTAATCACCATCTACAAAAATTAGTATCTAATCGCTGTTGTAACTTTAAATTAATATCCAGGTAAACACAGATTCTATTATTATCATAATCTAGAATATAATAGGCCTATCTTGGCCAAAGGAAAAAATGACTTTAGAATAATCTAAATTTTTTTCTTAAAACGATATAGATCCTTGGCTTATAATTGTAATCTTTAGGTATCTTCAGAATCATTTGCTGTCATGAAAGTAGTGCAAGAGCCATTTGCTATAATGACAAGCTGCAAGTTTTGAGAACACTGTATGTCTAATTTTAAAAAACACAACAACAATTACAAACAAACAGAACTTGGCCTGTGGCTGTGTCCACTGGCAATATGGTTATTCTCTGATGAGATGCTTTGAGTTCTGGATACCATCCTTATCTGGTGTGGAGGTGTTGCTTTGGCAGCATATTATGGTAGAAAAGAAAAGCTATGGACTTGAGAGGCACACCAACCCAAATGTGAACTTGAGCTCTACCACTTTTGTACTAACAGGTTGGGCAAGTTACTTAACTTCCTTGGTAAAATGAAAATTATACTTTTCTAGGGATGCTATGAAGATGAAAGCACCCAAAGTGAGTTCTTGTTAAATGGCAGTAGTTGTATGAACAGTACAGTGTGGTGATGATGATGTTTTCATATTCTTTCAGGTGAAATAAAGGACAAAAATGTTCAGGTGGTGGAGCTCCCCATTGTGGACAGTCTTCATCCTCGTCCTCCATATTTACCCCTGGCTGTACCAGAAGACCTTGCAGATCGACTTGTTCGAGTTCATGGTGACCCTGCAGTGTGGTGGGTGTCGCAGTTTGTCAAATACTTGATCCGCCCACAACCTTGGCTGGAAAAGGAGATAGAAGAGGCCACCAAGAAGCTTGGCTTCAAACATCCAGTTATTGGGTGAGAATCTGATTTGTTCCTCATAAAGTGATATGGAGTAGCAGGTATATATATATATGTATATATATATACACACATATATATATACACCTTTACCATATATTGTGAACTTTACAATCTATAGTTTAATTTTCATTGCTCCACTCAAAAACAGGTTCTAAAGTTCACCTGAGGCCCCAGGGAGATTAGTCTTCCTTTTTTTACTTAGAATGACTGAGTCATCGTACTTTGTCACCCTTGTTTTATTTATTTATTTGACAAATGTATTAAGCCCATATTTCTGAAAATGGCTGTCTCTCCTGGGGAAACCAGCAGGATGTCATTTTATTGGGAATATTTTGGATATTATACATGATCGTGTCGTACCCCAACAGGCCATGAGATGAAACTGTCACAAGTATAGCTTTCCGATTGCACCTTATTCTTAGGCTTCATTAATTGCCAGGGGTGATTATTTTGCTTTTTTGATGTTCTGTTTTCTTTTCTGTCTTGGAACCTATTTTGAGAACAAGGATATCATTTGTACTGTAAGGTAATGCTAAAATTATTATTTAAAATGAATCTTGACCCACTTGGAAGTTACAGTGTATATATGTATTCAATCTGGTGCTTATGTTATGGGAGCTATATCAGGAAATCCTTGGAGTAAGAAATATCCAAAAGAGCATTTGCTGACAAACATGCGCTCCTATACACGCACATAAAAAGTTATGGGAAAAGGAGCTTTCTTGGGTCCTGATGCCAGATTTCACACCATGGGAAATGTTTTTTGCACAATGGAAAGAATACTGGACTGAGAGTTAGGTGACATGGGTAATACTCCTGACTTTTCTCTATTTCTGGGCCAAGTTACCTAATAGTAGTATTGGGTTTTGATTTTTCCATCTGTAAAACAGAGTACCTACTATACTTAAAATACCTGCCCTTAAAATGATGAATTTGATAATATTAGGATTAAAGAGGATTTTGGTTCTGTGGGGGGAAAATGCACTGTAAAATATTATCACCTTTCAGAGAGACTAATACTGAAAATAGACTTGTAGGCTAGCTATGGCATTCTGTTGCTTATGCTGTTTGTGATAAAGTAAGCTATTGATTAATATTAATACACTAGAGGCCTGGTGCACGAAACTCATGCAGGGGGTTGGGGGTTGTCCCTCAGCCCAGCCTGTACCCTCTCCAATCCGGGACCCCTCGGGGGATGTCTGACTGCAAGAGGGATGACTGGCAGTCGGACATCCCTCTCTCAATCCGGGACCACTGGCTCCTAACCACTCACCTACCTGCTTGCCTAATCACCCCTAACCACTCTGCCTGCCTGCCTGATCGCCCCTACCCCCTTTGCCTGCCAGCCTGATTGCCCCTAACTGCCCTCCCCTGCCGTCCTGATTTCTCTAACTGCCCTCCCATGCCAGCCTGATCACCCCTAACCACCTCTGGAGGACCAGATGACTGGAGGATGTCTGGTTGACCCGGTCTAATTAGCATATTACCCTTTTATTAGTATAGATTGCTGATTCACTCACTTATTTGCAAAACATGTATTGAATACCTGCTACTGTGGGGGACAGAGTTTAATGTTTTTTCAAATGGCTCCTTCTGGTTCATTTTAGCCTGTGGGATAAGAGACTTACATAACTGACATTATATGGAGTAGAACATGATAAATACCACAAGAGAAGTATTAAAGGACTTAAAAGAGGTCAGGGAAGGGAAATATACTTCCGTCTGGATCAGGAAAGGCTTCACAGCTGCAGTGTTTGAACTGGATCTTAAAGATGGAGAAAGATAACACTGTAATACTTAAATTACCAGAATACTTCCAACTGCATTACCTCATTGATCCTGTAACACAGTCCTGTGAAGTGGGCAGAGGTAATTATTTCAAAGGTGTGGAAAGAAAGGAAAGAAAATCTCTGCCAAAAGTTCCAGAACCTTAACTTTGGCTATCCTATAGTTTTACATACCAGAAAGCAACCCTTATTAATTTTCCACGGACCATCCACCAAATGGAGAGTTGGCCAAGTGTAGAAAATTGAAGTAGCACAGACAACTAAGTTATTTGCAAGTGAGGTGGTATGCTGTAATGAAAGAGGAGTGCACTAGGATTTAGGAATCTGAGGTCCCATCTAGCATCCACCACTAACAAATTTATGTGACTTTAGGTGACTTACTTGTTCATTATGGGCCTTCATTATTTGTCATTTGTTATAAACACTAGATTAGATGATATTTGTTTTTACTAACATAATACTAAACAGATTTTTGTGTCTACCTATCATTTATTCATTTTGTTTGTTGAATTGTGAATAAATAGAAGAGCTTGATATCTAATAGTGAAAATCAGGTACCAAATAACTTTTACTTTTGTGAAGACTGGGTTGAAATGCCTTATGTTTTTTTTTCAAATATATTTCTTTATTGAATTCAGAGAGGAAGGGAGAAAGGGAGAGAGATAGAAACATCAATGATGAGAGAGGATCATTGATTGGCTGCCTTCTGCATACCCCCTACTGGGGATCGAGCTTGCAACCCAGGCATGTGCCCTTGGCTGGAATCGAACCTGGGACCCATCAGTCCGCAGGCTAATGCTCTATCCACTGAGCCAAGCTGGCTAGGGCGAAATGCCTTATGTTATATGTGCTTACCAAAATGTCTTTAGAAGCATCAGTGTCCTTAACTGTCAGGTGAAAGAGTTAATTAAATGAAATTACTTCTATCCTTCACAGGTCTAACTTTGTGATTCTTCTGTAAAGATTTCATATGTTCCTCCATGAAAATATTGGTCCAGGCCTAATTTCAGAAGGACTGGGCGAATTGAGAAGATCGCTAGTGTAGTACTCTGTCACTGTCTCAGACACTCCGCTTCCTTTGATTCTTCTTTCTGTTACATCTCTCCTTTGTTTTTGTTTCTATTTTCATAATTCCCACCCCTCCTTCTTCCATTGTGTCTTAGTTTTCATATATATAGAAGTTACTGGCCCCTATTCCAAATGTTAAAGCTAACGAGACCAGCTGGTGTGGTTTAATGGTTGAGTGTGGACCTATGAGCCAGGAGATCATCTTTCAATCCCAGTCATGGCACATGCTCGGGTTGTGGGCTCAATTCCCAGTGGGGGCTGTATATAAGGCAGCGGATCAATGATTCTCTGTCATCATTGATGTTTCTATCTCTCCCTCTTCCTTTCTCTCTGAAATAAATAAAAACATATTTTTTAAAAAAGCTAAAGAAAGTATAAGGTGAAATCAGTATCAAATAGTGTTTCTTCTCATGAAAATTTTCACTGAAATTTAATGGAATTGTTCTTTTTGTCCCTCTTCGTCTCTTTGGAGCACAGTGAACAATTCCAATTTTCTGAGAGAAGCAGTGATTAAAAAGGATGTGGGAAGGAAAAGATGATAGAAATGTTCATATAATAGTATTCACATCTGGACTATAGCCTGGAAGGCAAAGGAAAGAATAGCCATGAAGATGCCAGAGTAACTTCAATGAAATCAAACCCCCACCCAGATTCATAATAAAAGCTAGCCTTTGCTTGACCTAAAGGGAAACAAGTCTCCCCTTTTCCTTTTCCCACATATGAATAGTGGTGTAACAATTTAGGGAGAGGAGGAATACAGAAAAGGCAAATTTCAGGAGAGTTGTAATTTATGAAAACAAGCTACGGTTACTATTGTTCTTATTTTCATTAAAATCGCTTTGAAAGCAGTAAGATGGTGAGAGAATACTGTGGAAGTCAATGTAGTCTTCAGTGCAGATGGTGTAAACCTCTGTGTCTCCAATTTTATAATTTTGGAGCCTTTCTTAAATAGAACAGATAAGCTAGATCAGTATCTGCTTGTGTTTGATGGAGTGTGAAAGACAGAAAAAGGAAATTCATTATGCCTACAACAAAAGGGCTGGAACAGCTCCATGAACTTAAAAATAGTAAGGAGCCTTCAAAGGTTTGCCTGCTTTGACTGTGCCATAGGAACAATGCATGCAAGGTCTGTGTTTTCTTCAGGCGACTTTAAATTCTATAAGTTGGCAGTTACAGAGTTACCAACAGGGTAAAATGAAGAAAAAGAAAACTTGGCATGAAAACGTTACAGACAATACATTTAATGTTCTATAAGAACAATTGTCATTTGTTGTCAAAAATCTTGTTATATCCAGTTTTTTTCTGGAAGGCTAATTGGCATTTTGTTGCCTAGTATGGAATACTAGGAATCTCCCACTTATTCCTGATATGCCAATTACTTTCTCTATAAGAAAGCATTCTTTAAAGACTTTACTTACTTTTTAAAATTCCCCTTGTATTATGTTAACATACAAATATATTTCAGATATATGTGTTTGAATTTTTTAATATTTATTTTATTTTTTGGATGGCAAAAAATGAAAGGAAGACTGATTTAAATGTTCATAATGCCACCATGAATAGGGGTGTAAAGTTGAGTACCCTAAGAGCACCCAGTGGGTCAGAGTATTAGCAGCAGAATCTGACTTTGTCCCTCTGCCTCCAGAGTCCATGTCAGACGCACAGACAAGGTGGGAACAGAAGCTGCCTTCCATCCCATTGAGGAGTACATGGTGCACGTTGAAGAACATTTTCAGCTTCTCGCTCGCAGGATGCAAGTGGATAAAAAAAGAGTGTATTTGGCCACAGATGACCCTTCTTTATTAAAGGAGGCAAAAACAAAGTAAGTTAGATGAAGTGGTGATTCTAGAGTGGGCCTCTTTTCAGTTGAAAGGAATCCTTAATTCCCATGACTTGTGATTCTTGTGATACTATTACTGACTATTGGGGTTTTTAAATTCAACACTGCACTTGTGTAACTTGTTAATATCATCAAAACAATTGTGAGGTGCCAGCAAAGTTACATTTCATTCTGAAGCCTCTTTTCTTAGCTTGTAGGCAGCGTCATCTCTCTGTGAACTCACATGACTTCTTTGTGTGCTTAGAAGAAGCATCAAACTTCCTGGTGTCTCTTCTTATAAAGGCACTAATTCCATTATGAGGATTCCACCCTAATGCCCTTATTTAACCCTAATTACCTCTCAAAGACCCTACCTCCAGATGCCGTCACACTGGAGGGTTATGGCTTAAACACGAATTCTGGTGGGAACACAAATATTCAGCCCATCACACTAACCAACCTTTACCAATAAAACACACAGGTACTTGCCTTTTTGCTCTCATATTTTCACTAACAATTACAGGCAACTGAAAACATAAGTAAGATATAAGTTTTCATCTTATAAAAATGTCTGGAATTTAGAAATTATATTAAAGAAACATAAAGAATCAAAAGGTAAGTTTCGTAAGTTCAGGAGAAGGACTACTAATATGTTTTGAAGAGTAACCATCATTTATTGAACTTGTCTATATTTTAGGCACTGTGCTAGGTGCTGGGCATCCATGATAAGCAAGGCACTCTCAAGGAATTTCCAGTCTAGGTGGGGAACAGACAATTGCTCTACAGAATGAGTAGTGCTATTACAGAATTAACAATGGGTGTTATGAAAACACATAAAGCACTGATCCTAATTTGGAATTTATTGTAGGATCTGGATGAACCTAGAGTTGGCCTTTATTTACTACCAATAAATATGGGATGCATTAAATATATGTGAAAGTAGGGAATGGGGAGAAGAAAACTGTAGTCTTAGCTCTGCTCAGATACCAAACATTCTGGGATGATTCTGAATTATGTTTACTTCAGTTCCATCAGTCTGAAAGCATTTTATTAATTATTGAAGTTATTTGACTATTTAATTAATTTATTTCTCAGTCCCTTTTTTATGTCACAAATTGGGGTTGGGAAGAAAAACAAATTTAAAATGAGGACTATAATGCAGGTGTTTCTCCAAATCATTAGATAATAATTTAAATCTTATTTCTACCTCCTAAGAATTCAGATTAACCTGATGTAAATTTTTTTTTTGTTAAGTCTCTATTGACTACACACACACACACTTATAAACAAGAATCAAGAAATTCACCAGCCAAGTATAAGCTAAGCCAAGTTATATAATTATAATTCTTACATAAGAATTAGAGATTAAATGAATGTTTGGGCACAAAACACAATAGAAAGTTTTCACAAGTACTTTTCCAATTTTATATCTAAACCTGTTAGAGAGAAGTAGAAATTGTTTACCATGCTCCTTCATTTTAAAATACCACACTGAATTTATAGCTTAGTTGAAAAAATATTAAAATATTAATTTTATCAACTCTTTTATTTGTTCTCAAATACATTAAAAGCTTTTTTTCTTTTTTCCTTGATTAACAAAATAATTCATGCTCATTAGAAAATATGGAAGTTGGTAATTATACAAGCAAGGAAAAAATAATGCCCACAATCCCATTACTCAGTGGTAGTAACTGCTTCAGTTTTGACATATTCCCTTCAGTCATGTTCATAGTTACACTATTTAGTTTATCACATTCTATATAATTTGAAATCTTTTTTGATTAATACAGCAATAGATGAATTATCTCAGGTCACTAAAAAAATTATTATAAATATCTTTTTTAATAACTACATAGCGACTCTATGCATAGTCCATTGCTTACTTGACCATTCCCCTAATATTGGAAAATTAGGTTATCCACATTTTTTTGATCTTATAAATAATGTTAGGAAATGTGCCTAAAATTATCCCCATTATTTTCTTAAGCTATATTTCTGGACTCAGAAGTATTTAGATAAAAGTATCTGCAAATCTTACAGCTTTGATCCATAACACCACATTATATTTTTACACCAAACAATGCTTGTACTGTATTACAGTTGGCAGTACTTAGATTATGGCAGTAGTAAAACTTGAATTTACTTTTTTTGGTCAGCAGCTAGTAACTCCTTTTCCCCTTACAGTCCAGGCAGCGATTCCTTCATATTCTATTACTAGAGGCCCAGTGCACGGAAATTCGTGCACTTAGGGGATCCCTCAGCCCAGCCTGCATCCTCACGCAGTCCAGGACCCCTTGAGAGATGTCCATCTGCCGGCTTAGGCCCGCTCTCAGGAGATCGGGCCTAAGCTGGCAGTCAGACATCCCTCTGGCAACCCAGAAGCCCTTAGGGGATGTCTGACTAACTGCTTAGGCCCGCTCCCATGAGGAGCGGGCCTAAGCAGTTAGTTGGACATCCTTAGCACTGCCACAGAGGCCAGAGAGGCTCCTGCCACTGCTGCTGTGCTGGCCAGCCATGAGCCGGCTTCTGGCTGAGTGGCGCTCCCCCTGTGGAAGCACACTGACCACCAAGGGGCGGCTCCTGCATTGAGCGTCTGCCCCCTGGTGGTCAGTGCACATCATAGCAACTGGTCGTTACTGGTCATTCTACCTTTAGGATCAATTTGCATATTACCCTTTTATTATATAGGAAAGGATAAACGTAGTAGCCTTTTATGCATATTTTTCTCTCCAAAAATCGTTTCATTTTCTGAGTCATGAAGAGGAGTATCTCCTTCTGTCTGGAGAAAGAGTTCAGAAAAGAAAATTTGATGTTAGTTAGCCCTTTGTTGGTGATGTAAAAATAAATTTTTATGAGGTAGAAGAAGAAAAAAATATTTTTCCTTGGCAACCTCTGCAACTTCACAATGGAAGAATTGCTCTGCTGACATGCTTGTGAACAAGTGAACAAGAGACAAAAAAGAAACATGTTTGTACAGAAAGTTCCATGCTCATTCATTATTGGAGATGCAAACTCTCCCTCCCATTTTTCGCTGTGTTTCTTTGTTTTGTTTTGTTTTTTCCACTCTCAGTATCCTTCATCAAGTGGATTACATATAGAGATAAAGCCTGAGGAACTTAGGCACCCTTTTGGTTTGGTTCCAGGTAGGGACCTTTAAGTTAAGAAGGGCATTAATGTTAGTGTCCCTTCTCAGTGAAAGGATCACTCTTTTGTTTCACTGAGCACCCAAACCATGCTGACAAAATCGGTCTTTATTCAAGGATAAAACCTTGCTGATGTACTTTAGCAATTCATCCTCTCCTCCACACTTCAGCCTTTTTATGTTTATTTATCACTGTTTCTGCCCCATGCTGGGGTATGGAGCTTTGCAGGAATAACATTAAAAGTTTTTTTGGTTGTTTTCTTTTTAGAATAAATGTGACAGTTCCTTCATCTCCCTGATTTGGAACTGAGGAGAGCAAAATGTCAAAAATAATGAGGCCAAATGTATCCAAACACTGAACACCAGTCTGAAACAGTGTTCAGAGACTTTACCTTTACAGTCGTTGTTAGAGGCAATGAGAGAAAGCTCCGTGGTGGCTGTGAAATCCAAAGCAGCTGTTAGGGGATTAGGAAAAAGTCCCAGGCATAGATAGCTCTCCCTTGTTCGTGTATTTATTCACAGTGTTGTGTGGAATGCTACGTGCTGTGATGCAAAGAAAAATTAGGCTTAGTCCCAATTGGGGGGAATACTGTGTGGAGACAGACAATAAAGTGACTCATAATGTTTCAGGATTTATAAATAAGAATTATTATTTTTCAACAAATAGTGATCCTCTGTTATATCCCAGATTGTCTTATAGGTGCTGAGAATAATAGAGTGAATGAAATATATCAAATGCCTCTGTTCAGTTAGGGATGATGGAGGTGGGGAATGAATGGATGCAGTCAGTAAATAAACAGTAAATATATGTTATGTGCAATGATAATAAGAGCCATGGAGAAAAATTAAGTAGGTAAAAGGGATACTGATCACCAAAGTTCATACTAATAAGGCTATATTTGAGCAGAGATCTAAAGGAAGTAAGGAATAAAACCAGATGGATGTCTGGGGAAAATGTTTAATAGTCACAAGCAATATGTATTGAGCATTCGCTACATGTCAGATACTCTTCTAAATAGTTTATATTGCTAAGTGTATTTACTCAATGCTTATGAAATATATGATGTAGGTATAATTATTATATCCTTTTCACGTAACTTCCCGAAGTTTACATTTCAACTCTGAAGATCTACTTCAGGCACTGAGAAAATGTATTCACTCTATATTAGAGTATAATTACACCTCTAATTCAGAATAGAATCATTTGAACATGTGGTAGACTTTTTAAAGACATCCTATTTTAATAGTTTTAAATATCCTATCTCAAGACAACTAAAATATTATTTGGGTGGACATCTACAAGAAATTTGCCTTCATAAATGTATTAGAATGGTTTACATTACTGTTATTGGTTAAGATGGTTCTTCAAGGATGATGGTTAGAGGATAAGTCTGAATTATCCCAAATTCTGAATTAAAATTTTTAATGAAATTTAATCATGATATTTATATTCTAAAGGAAAAGTTCAGTGACCAAATATGAAAACAGCTTGCAAAACTTCTTAGAGCTCACGCATTACAAAGAAAATAGGAGTCTTCTGTTTTCAACTCTTTCACGAATTGAGAAGGGACATTTTGATACATCAGTGTGTATTTTATATGGCATGCCAGTGACATTTAACATGCAGGGTACTCCAGAGTGGTTTCTGTCCCACTAGTGGATTCAAAGAAACTTCATTGACTATTCTTTTGAATGTTATCATTTTAAAGCTCTCTTTACTGTTAGAGAGGAACTCTGGGTCAAAGGAGCAGGTCTGCCTCCTGCTGATAGGATACTACCTTCTAATAGAATATTGTGATTTCAGTGACTATGTATCAATTTATTTCTTTTTCAGGTACCCCAGTTATGAATTTATTAGTGATAACTCTATCTCTTGGTCAGCTGGACTACACAATCGATACACGGAAAATTCACTTAGGGGTGTGATTCTGGATATACACTTTCTCTCCCAGGCAGACTTCCTAGTGTGTACTTTTTCATCCCAGGTAAGTGATAGTAGGGTATTTTTAAGAGGCCAGTACTTTTTGATCATATTAGGGTTAGGAACTTCTTGTTTTCTTGTTTGTTTATTAATCCTCAACCGAGGACATTTTTCCATTGATTTTCAGAGAGTGGGAGGGAGGGAAGAGACAGAGAGAGAAACATGGATGTGAGGGAGACATATCGATTGGTTGCCTCCCATACATGCTCCAACCAGGGCCAGGGATTGAGCCTGCAACTGAGGTACGTGCCCTTGACCGGAATCGAACCTGGGACCCTTCAGTCCGCAGGCTGATACTCTATCCACTGAATGAAACTGGCTAGGGCTTTTTTAAATGTTAGTTATCATGATTCTGGTGAAATTTTCCTAATATTTGCGAATTACCATTTTTGTGAAAGCATGAGAAGATTCCCCCAAAACATAGCTATTTAGGTGCACTGAATATTTAGTTGTTTGCAAGCAATGGTTGAATACATCTCTACTGAAGCCAGCTACTAGAGTTGTTTAAAGTGCTCGGCTTGTTCACAGCATTAAACAGAAACAGCAGGTAATTAAGCTTGCTTAATACTTTCTGATTTTGCACACAGTCAGTATTTAACCAGAACCCATCCATTTCTACTATCGATACACTGATACTAAGAGGCTTAAATGCCCAGCATTTTGTCTCAATTGCTTTATAGAACATAAGAAAGAGTAAATGTAATTCCTCTTCAAATCTTACTACATTTCCACCAAGCAAGAGACTGTACATTAAATTTAAGCAATACCATATTACAATCATGTTTTGAGAGTAATTGTTGTAGATAATTATGTGTTATGGGTTAGGTGTATCTGTTTTTATGAGTGGTACAAGCAGCCTCATATTTCCCAGTGGAATATCACCATAGCAATATTTATTGTGGATTTTATTCTGCTCTTTCATTTATGTGCATATTACTGGGTAGTTTATTCAAAATCTGCTAAACAACCATTTGTGCTCAGATTTATACTAGGCGTAGAGGGGATTCCAGAGGAAATGAAGATAAAATACTCACATGAAATAACTACCAAGAAATGTAAATTATGTAAGAATAATATATGCCTAAAAGCTTAGATGAAGTTGAGAAGAGAAAATGTGAAGAGGAAATCCACATCATTTTCATGTGAATATAAATAAATGGGCAGTTTTCTAATGTGTGACAATGCACATTGTCACAGTGGGATGGTGATATGATTGTTGGAAAGATACCTACCACAGCCAAGGCTATACGAGCTTCTTCAATATGGAATAGGAATACAACTTACTACCCAAAAAGACAGCTACACAGTACAGGAGTCACACAGGCAGCAATCCTAGTCAGGAGGAAAACTTCCTTGGCCTTCAGGTTCCCATGAAGCATCCACTGCTGATGTTTCTCCCTAATTAGGGTCACGATCCTGACTTTGATAAGCTCCCTTTTCTATTTTTGGTCTCTCTCAACTGTTTTCACAGTCTGACTATATGTCTGCCTGGTCAGCAGGTGCAAATAACTAGTAACAACCTCCACACATTTTTGAATGGGTATTCTTAGAATGTGTCAATCATTCTATGTACCACCTCCTCTGTGGGCCTAGACTGTGGACTTACCTAAGGTTTGTTCCTCTAGTCAAGGGTTTCTCCACCAGGGCACCCCTGGCATTTGGGGCCAGAAAAGTTGTCGTGAGGCACTGTCCTGTGCATTTTAGGATACTTTACAGCATCCCTGGCCAGTAGCACCTCCACCTCAATTGTGACAATCAAAAGTGTCTTCAGACATTACCCAATGTCCTGTGGGGGCAAAATCACCCTTGTTGAGAACCACTGCTCTAGTCATAAAGCTCTAAAATCCAATGAATATAGCCCAGCCCAGCCTGTGTGGTTCAGTGGTTGAGTGTCGACCTATGAACCAGGAGGTCACTGTTTAATTCCCAGTCAGGGTACATGCCGGGTTGCGGGCTCAATGCCCAGTAGGGGGCATGCAGGAGGCAGCCAATCAGTGATTCGCATCATTGATGCTTCTATCTCTCCCTTCCTCTCTGAAATCAATAGAATTATATTTTAAAAATGAATAAAAATAAAATGCAATAAATATATACATGTTTGAATATTACCAACTTTACGTGTCGGTAGGCCCTGAGATTCAGGGGAGGTGCTTGATGCTTTGCTTTCCTTCTTCCAGCATTAAAATCACCATGGGACAAAATTACTTACTTTCCCCCTTTGACACTTCCCTTTGTGACTCTTAAAAGCATTCTTGTGACACTCTTCAGTGTCTAATTCCAAGTCCACACGTAGCATAACTGGCCTCACTACATTCTGAGTCCGATTTTGGAAAGTGCAGTGGGAAAAAACAGATATTACTTTGCACACTAGAGATCCTCTTGGCCTTGTCTATTTTGACAAAAAAAAAAAAAAGGATATCTCAGCTGCTCTGAGAAAGCTTTGGAGACTCATGCAAACTCAGCTAGTTGTTCCTCAGGGATAAAATTCAGACTAATGGACCTTTCTTTCCTTTTTAATTGTTGTTTTTAATACAGTCATATCTGTGTTTTATTCTTTATCAGGATTTTTGTTCTTACCCATTACCTTATGCTTATTGGTGTTCTGAAAATGATATAATGCCATGTCAAAACAGAATGAAATAAAAGATACAAAATGTGGCCAGCCACTGCTTTGCAAACCAAAGGGTTTGCCTCATCAATCATGTTACCTATCAGGTATCAAACCTGAGTACTGATCAGATGAAAGCCTTCATTTACCTGCCACATGATTTGGACTTGTAAAACCCAGAGATGAAGCCTAGGGTGATTAAATGCAAACATCAACATTATAGTAATCCTTTCTAGCTTTTGCAGTAAATTGCCCCACTGTTAATATAGAGAAAAAATTTTAATTACTCAGAATGTTATATATGAAGCTTAAGGATTAAATTACCCCTTGTGGACTTGCATCTCCACTGCTGGCTGGTATTATGCACGGAGCAGTATTCATTCAACAGATAGTTATTGAGTGCCTATGTGGCAGACACTGCTCTAGGACTTATCCTAAGGCAGTTTAGTGTGTGGTTGAGAGCCAGAGAGAGTGCTAATTGTGGCTCTGCCAATTACTAGCTCCTTTTTTCTTTGCTTTGCCTTTTTTTTTTTAACTTTTTGGAAATTTACTTAATCTTTCTGTGGCTTAGTTTCTTCATCTATAAAATGAGAATAATAGTAGCCACCTTATATGGTTCTTGTGAGTTTTTGAGTTGAAAAAGATGCAAGCAAGCACACTATTAAAACAGTACCTGGACCATTATCAGTGCTCATTAACCTCAACTGCTATGATTATCACCAATATGAGAAGGATAAAGGGTCTTATATTGCTCCATCTCAATGTCTGAAATTTCTACCGTTCATTATTACTTTGGCTTAAGGAAATACGTGTCTTCCAGCAGACTAACATATCAACAATTATTGATATAGAACATAAACTGATCATTAGGATTATTTCCTCAAAAGAAGGCTTCTAGGGTATGGGACTGAGGGTAATGTTTTTATGAGTGAGATATTTAATAGTGGAGAGGAGGAAGTACATTAGAGTTCATTGCCACAGTGGGCCTTATGGTCATCCCAAGGTCAAGCAATACGAGTCATGCATTTCTGGCTAAAGATGATTGAAGAGTACCTGGACATGCCCTGAAAAGAAGACTCTCAGGTTTGCCCAAGGCCAGCCTGGCCTTATGTTTTATCTCTCTGGCGTTACAGTCCAAACATGGAGAACAGTGTCTATAAGAGAAAATATGCTTAGCAGTTAACTAGCATACACAGACAGCCTGTGTTCAAAACCTGAATCTACCACTTAATAATAGTGTAACCTTGGGCAAATTTCTTAATTGACCTTTGACATCTGTAAAATAAACATGATAGAATTGCATAGGGCTATTGAGGGGATTAAATTAGATAACACCTAAAAACACTATCTGACAGCAAAAACTCAGTAAATATTAGCCTCTATTATTGTTATTGTACTTTGCTATTATTAGAGCTGCTTTGTTTTAATTTTTTAGTTTCTTCCTTTCCAGAGTCTTCACTTGATTTTGCTTGTCCTCTGTGGGCCTTTGGCTGAATTTAAAGTTCAAGTTTTAAATCTTTTTAGCCTTATTTGTTATAGTCTCAGTATTCTACCAGTGTTTTCACTTGTACCATGACATTCCCAATATAAAATTAGTGTGTTGATGAAGTAGCAGGTTCGAATGGAAAGTCATTGTCTTGGTTCTGTGTCTAGTTCTATGTCTATTGGTACGGGGACAATAAAACTTCATTAACTGAGATAACTACAACTGGAGATTTAAGAAAATTTTACGTGAGTTGAGTTCTCTGTTCACAATGTATATTGGAAGAATTTTCTAAGCAAAATGATAGCATTCTCTCTTATTTCTTCACTATTCTTAGAAGAATTTCTGCAACCTATTTATGCTATAATAAATGTATTTATTAATTGCTTAAAATGTTATACTTTCATGAAGATAGTTATAGTTTAACTTAATAACCAAGCATTAAGCTCAAGGAATGATGCTCAGGTTGTGGAATTTCAGCTGACATCCATCCAGTGGGCATAATAGGTATTCTTTGGACAGGAATCTTTTAAGTAGCCTTAAATGCATCAGGTAGATGCATCTTCCCCAAAGACAAGTCCATCTTATTCCAGTCCTAGAATGCTGCTATCTACACAGCACACTTAAAACTATTTAGAATCGAAATGGTAGATAGGTTTCTCTCACTTGCCAGTGCTAATTGATTGTCAGTAATTACATGAATTTCTATTGAAAAGAGTCCGGAGGCCAAGTTCAAATTAGCAGAAAAGAGTATGTGATTGATTAACACTGAATGAAGGAAAGGGAGCAGCAGCATTTTTGTAAAGTATTTATAACCCTAATCCTAACCTTAAAGTCTTCAAGGGCACAAACTATGTCTTCCTCATTTTATACCACCAGTGCCCAACATGGAGTACTATGTGGTTCTTAATGAATGTTTATTAAAATTAACTGATTCACATTCTTAAAGTACTTTGCATTATATATTTTTTCTCCCAGAGACCTTAATTATAATCTTTTATGTTAAAAAACACAGATGCAAGCACAGAATGAAGAAAGACTTATGCTATATGCTATACCATCACTTGAGAGCAAATGGACTGAAAACTTGTGACTAGAATCCACTAGTTCTCATTCTCTCAGTTCTAGTCCTAGTCTAGTTCTGATCTGTTTGGCTAAGGGCTTTTAGATTGTTCTGATGGGGATCTTACATATACTAACTATTTTTTTAAAAATTATTTCCCAAGGTCTGTCGAGTCGCTTATGAAATCATGCAAACACTGCATCCTGATGCCTCTGCAAACTTCCATTCTTTGGATGACATCTACTATTTTGGGGGCCAAAATGCCCACAACCAGATTGCCATTTATCCTCACCAGCCTCGAACTGCAGATGAAATTCCCATGGAACCTGGAGATATCATTGGTGTGGCTGGAAATCATTGGGATGGCTATTCTAAAGGTGTCAACAGGAAACTGGGAAGGACGGGCTTGTATCCCTCCTACAAAGTCCGAGAGAAGATAGAGACAGTCAAGTACCCCACATATCCTGAAGCCGAGAAATAAAGCTTAAGATGGAGGAGAAGGACAACTAAACTCAGTTCAAACTATTTGAGCCAAACAGTAGATGAAGAAGGCCCTGTCCTAACAACACATGGTTGAATGAGTAGACACCCTCAGCATCAGGAGCAGCTGAGAACTGACAGATGTTTTGTTGGTGAAATTTCTCTTTAACAAGGGCTACAATGCCCAAAACCCCTGCACAGTCGAATAATGTACTCACATATAACATGCAAGCAGGTGGTTTTCGACTTTGCCTCTTCTTTCAAGATTATGTCTCCATGAGAAAAACACTGCCACATTGTAATTTAAGTGACACAGACATTTGTGTGAGACTTCAAACATGGTGCCTATCTCTGAGAGACCTGATGAGAAGACTTGAATAGCTCCCCGCTGTGGGGAGGTGGATTCTTAGCCAGTGGTGGTAATGCAACCACTGAATTCACTCCAGTCAGCAGATTCAGAATGAGAATGGATGTTCTTGTCTGGAATTTTTTTTAAGTAATTACATCAGTTCATCCACCTCATCTTTAATAAGTGAAGGAGATACATTGAAATAAAATATTCTCATTCCATTAGGAACTTTTGTAAAATGATGCCATGAACAGATTCTTTAGTACTCAATGTTTCTGGCCATTCTCTTTGATAACAAAAAATAAATTTTAAAAAGAAATTTTGTGAAGTTTCTAGAATTTTACATCATTGGAAGATGTGGTGGTCAGCTTTATAGTGGAAAATCTATGATAAAAGAGGAGTTTTATAGTTCTGCTGGGCTTTTTTTTTTTGGTTTTTTGGGCGTCTTTTGTTTTCTGTTGTTGATTGCGTGACTAATCTGGTCTTAGTTCAAAGAGTCATCGAGCCATTTTCACACTGAAAACAGTGTAATTGGTGCACATTACAAGGCTGCTAAGAACACTCCTTGGGAGCTTCCATTCTTTTAGTTTGGGCATTGTTTTTGTTTAATTCAGTGGTTCTCAACCTTCTGTCCCTTTAAATACAGTTCCTCATGTTGTGACCCAACCATAAAATTATTTTAGTTGCTACTTCATAACTGTAATGTTGCTACTGTTATGAATCGTAATGTAAATATCTGATATGCAGGATGGTCTTAGGTGACCCCTGTGAAAGGGTCGTTTGACCGCCAAAGGGGTCGCGACCCGCAGGTTGAGAACCGCTGGTTTAATTAAATAATCATACTGCTTGCCCTTAGAGGAACTGTCACCTCCATTTCCAAAACTAATAACTTCAGGTTTGTTGGTAATCTTTCTTACTGTAGCTCTTGTCACTTTTGTGTGTTGTGTCCTTTCCCTCCCCCCACCACACCCAAAAACCAATTTGTGCCCTTTTCTATCGTATCCTGCTTTTGAGAGTACCAGGAATCTTTGGGGTTGGCAAGCTGGCTCTGTTTCTGAAATCTAGTCTCACAAGATGTAGAATTCAGTTAACAAAGGAGAGAAGAACCAGTGTGAAACCCAAAATGGATTTAGGATTATCTCTTCCAAATACTTCTGTTTAGTAATTCCATTTTAGAATCACTTCCGAAGACAGGGCTCTGATGCTCTCTAAGTGTTCTGTATGAACATCACTTTTCTCCTTGTAAAAACACTTTCTATGTTCTGTAGGTTGCCTCCTTTACATGTCTGGCAGAGTATTTCATAGCATGTGCTCTACCTTCTGGGAAAGAAAAGAAAATAAAAGATCCCAATAAGAACTAGTAGCAGGCCTGGTGTTGAATATTAGGGATCCCAGACTGAAAAGCTCTGTCCTTCACATCCTCACCAAGTGAAAATACCTCTACACAAAATCTCTCCACCCGACTTCCCTAAATTCTCTCTCCGGTCAAGTCTCCCAACGAGCAACACTACCTATTGTGTCAGTAAGCAGTTTGCGATTTAGTTTTGGCACAAATAAAAGTCATTTGAAACAAACATCTCCAACTAAGAAGTACTTTTGAATATGAGTTATTTTCTAATTAGCATCTTACTTGTCATCTGAACATCAGTACAGTGGGTTACTGATAATAACTGCTTCATATTTCTCTGTATTATGATTATGTTGTGCGTTCTGTTGTATTTCTCTGAAGAGTACTGATGTTTGTTAGCAGGCATTTAATTTCATTGGACTCAAACTGTAAACTGTCTTGGGCAGCAGCTCAAATCTTAATTCAGTTTTTTTATCTTTAAGCTGGAATCTTTCCCACACACGTATGGTTCAGGGATCAGCCAGAGATGTGGGCAGACTTTATGCACAGAATTTGGGGTTCTCTTTCTTTGGCTTTCTTTCTTCTGAGGGTTCTCCCCTCACTTTTAGGAGCTGTGGTTGCTCTGCTTCTTCAAACAGCCTATCAGCCTAAAAGCCATAAAAATGGGAACTCATCTTGTGCCATTTCCTTCTTCAAAGTTTTAACCTCTCCAGAGTTCACCTGCTTTTTAGTTTAGTCACCAATGCCTTCAGGCAGTTTTTTTATTATTATTTTGTCAAGAGTCTATAGTTGTTATCATTGGGAGATCTGTTCACTTCCTGTGAGACACTTAAACTCTACCATACAGGAAAGTGAAACTCGGAGGCAGAGACTTAAAATGAAAAAGCGTAGTGGGGGCAGAGGAGCTTAGACCTATGACAGCCTTCGTTTAGACTCTGGCCTTAATAGCTAAGGAGCCAGTAGCTTCAAGCAGGAAGGAAAAGGAAGAAACGACTAAATTGTTAAATTTGCAGGTGTGGACAGGATGATGAGTACTACTGACCACATCATACTGACAAGCTCTTCTGAGTCACTTTTTTGCAAATCATCATGTACGTGATGATGATTCCTCCTTTACTTACTGCCATGTTGGAAGGGCTGACAGTTCCTCATCACCCTTGTACTTTCCTCATGAAAACCTGGTATTTAAAGACTGCATGGTTTTGAATTGAGTGACCAGTGCTGCATTAGGAAGGTTTGGATCTTTTCCTGGTTACAACAGCCTTACATTAAACCAAATTATTAGCCTGGACTCATTAAATGGAGGTACCAGAATTCTGTATATTAATGACAAAGCCATTACAAGAATGTCTTCCCAAGGGTTTCCTGGTCTTACCACTCAAGTCTGGTTTAGTACTGAGCTGGAAAGTTCATGCCTGTTGTGAAAGGGCTCTTAGCCCTAATTCTACATTCATGTCCCCAAATGTGAGAGACTGGTTGCTTCCCTCTCTGAGCTTTAGTTTTTTTCTATTATATAGAGCCTAGCCTGTTTCCTGAGTTCCTGCTTAATATCATTGAGGACACCAACAGACTCAGCTTCTGAGGGGGTTGGGGGTTAAAAAGAGAAAAAGCACCTGTGAAAATCTTTATTAAAGAGTATTATCATCATTTAGTTCTGAGAATATAATCACTTTATATTCAATAGGCAGGAAAAGTATTGGATCTAAATGGTGCATCTAGAAGAATCTCCTTGGCCTCAATGAGAATAAATTTCCTTATTCAAGGGGTAAGAGACAAGTCCTCTTTGACCATAGCCAGCAGCCTGATACTTCATTTGTGCTCCCGGGAGGCCACACAATAGCCAGGATCGATAAACCCAAACAGAATAGATGTTTTGGCGTGGGTTTTGATGAATCTTGGAACTTGCTGTAACACCTTAATTTATGCCAGAATACAGGCTCTGGGGGATTTTTTAAATGAATTGCCCAGAGGGAAGCACAAAGGAGAATTTGGCTCCATACTTACTGGTTCCTGGCAGCATCCGACCTCAGGAGAACATGGAGGGGTTGCTCCAGGATCCGTGGCAGGGCAAAGGCAGACCTGGACAGGTTCTTTGGCTTCAGCTGTCATTGACATTGTGCATGTTTGAGCACTTGCCCGTTGACAGTGTATTTATTTTAGGTTCTTTATATAAGACAGAATCTCTGACTCAGTACCTGTTCAACTATTCAGCCTTGCTCTCTCCAGTTCAGTTGCTACTTGCTTTCTGCTCTCATCCTTAAATAAGACAATCTTGATTTTGTATCCCCACTACCTTTATAGAGTATGATCTCATGTGAATGGTTCCCTGTTACTATTCCATTCCTCATGCAGCTGCCAATCCTAGGTACTTGCACAGACTATAGTTTGGCTATTGGCATCTCCTAGATATAAAAGAAACCAACTATCTCCTTGGACAGTTTTAGGTAAGATATTCCTGGAAGCTATGATAGTGAAGCTATGATACTGTGTGTTCTTGGCTGTTTAAACTGAAGATTTCAAAGATTTTTACAAATCAATGTCACTACACTCAAGGGGAGCATAGCTAGGGCATCCTTTGTGTGAAACTATGTCAATCTGAACAGCAATGTATTGAAGGCTATGGCCACAGCCATTTGACATTTGGGAAGAAAGCCAGGAAGAGAGTTCACTCCTACTGACCTCCTGTCATCTGTAACTGTTCTCTCTAACCTCTCCCCCGAGTCAATGTCCCATGGAGTCTATTGTTCCCTAACTGCCTGTGTGGGTAGGGAAAAGGCCATTAACAAAGGAGAAAGCCTCATGTTTGCTCATAACCCAGCTGGGTCTGAGGGCATCTGTGGAGGCTGGGAATGTGCAGTGCTTTGTAGGGAGAGCACAGATAGTTTAGACTGTGGGTGTGCTCAGCAGCCTGAGGAATGCTGGGATTTTGAGTTTCTGGCTATTTTTACCTTCCCTAGTGGATTGCAGCCCCTTGGGATTTCTGGCCCAGCAAAGGGAATGCAGGGGAGTCAGTACAAAAGCAGAAGACCTAGTTCTCAGTTTTGTGTCTCCTTGTCATAGTGCCTATAGGCAGGTAATGTCCCTGTGTCTCAAATTCTCAAGGGAAAGATCAGCAGTACTCACTGAAGATCACTGAAGTCAGATTGAGAACACATGGCCTGATTTTGACTGCTATTCAATGTAGACAGGTCAAATAGTGTTTCAGAGCTCTAATTTCTTCATCCGTGGAATGAAATGGTTGGATGTAATCAGGATTTGTAAATAATGTCTGGTTGGGTTTCACATATCTAAATAGGGTAGCTACTAGGCCTTGGCTGATTTTTATTCTAAAGACATAATGTGGTCAGATCTTTGTTTTTTAAGGTGAGCAAAATCTATTTTTATGCCATATCTTCAGATTTTTAAATATTAGTTAATTCAAAAAGGTAACAAGGGGAGGCAAATAAGACACATGTGGCTACTTTTGGTCTGTGGTCTATTAGTTTACAACCCCTGGACTAGATCTAGAAGGTTCTTTTCTAACCTCAAGATTCTGACTCTGAAAAGGATTGGTGGGGTGGGTAACCCCTGTCCCCTGTACAGTGCTTTCGAATTCAGTTGCTGCATGTGTCCCAATTCTTTGGAAATGTTTGCTTAGCTGGCTCTCATCCTTGGGCTCAGAAGTAACTTATATGCTGAAGGACAGCAGAGCTGTGATTGTTCATACCCTGGCCCCTCTCAAACTTGGCCTTGAGGATCCAAAGTGGCTCTTGTTTCAACTGGCCTAACCATCGATCTTGATTTCCTACACTCAGACTCACAGTCTGGTGATGACTCAACAGGCCACAAATTGAGGTGCCCCCCTTAGGGAGTTTACTGCTGTTTTTCTCCATTGCACCCAAATATTATGACATCAAGTATGCTCAAGTCTCTGGCTCTCAGTGAGAGAGTGATATCAGGACGCTTGGTGGTCTGTAAGAAAGCATGGTGAA